TACTCAGTTGCACTTTTCCAGTGGGAACAAGAAGTATTTACTACGTTTTAAATACGTATTAAAATGTATTAAAACAATTTTTAGACGTCTTAAATACGTCTTGTGCCCATTGGCTTGGCAAGACCTGTTATATATTAAACTATGATATCGCATAATAACAGTAAAATTAAATAATAAATTTTATAAATAAACATTAAAATTTAAATAACAATAAAAAAATATATATAATTATTTAATTAGAATTTGTTTTCTTACTTTTTTTTTCCCTATTATTTTCTTCCATTTATTGAAGTAATAATCCCATTGAAAAATTTTAATGAACTTTTGATATTTAATAAAAGTAAAATTTCTCTTTTTCAAGTAGAAATAACTTTTATTATAGATTCCTTTACATCTTTTTTTTCGAATATTTTACTTTTTAAGTGTCCCAAAAATACTTGTTTCAGAGCACCACGGAACAGCATTTAGTTCACACCTCCTTCCTTACCGGTGATGCGAAAAAATTATTAAAACTCCTTAATCAATACAAAAACATTTTTTGTTTTTTTGTTTTGTTTTTAAAGTGTTTCAAGACGTCCTTATCGTACCTTATCACTTATCACTATCGTACCTTATCACTTTATCGTCCTTGACGTACCTTATCACACAGAACCGCGAAAGTACATTTAATTTGAAAGTTCAAGTTCCACTCCTCCTTACCGATATTGTAAATATGGCCATAGCTAGCAAATCTCTTGAGTCTGAAGCAAGCACTCTAACAATTGCGCTGCAATATTTATTTCGAAAACTTGTCGACCTAATTTTTTGATTTAATTCAATTTTTTAATAAACTCTATTTAAAAATTGAATTGCGTTGTATTCACCGTTTCTAATCGTCATCAATTTATTCTAATTATACAGGAATAAATTATAGGGTTAGCGTTAATAATCATTTTATGAGAAAAGTGAAGCAGGTTTTCCTGAATAAAAATATGAAAATGTTGAACATTTATTAAATGTTCAACATTTTATAATTAAATGATTTAATCGTATTATATTAAATGATTTAATGGCATTATATAATCAAAGATATAAAAATAAAAGTTAGATTACTATTTTTATTATGAAAAAAAAATGATCACTTCAAATTCGAGAGTGAAGGAGTTCAGAATTACAACCAACTCTGTTTATAGCATTTATTTATTTTTCTCTACGCTTCTTTGATAAAATTTTACCATTCCCCTTCTTTTGGTAAACTAAAAAGAAGATTTTTTTTTTTACGATTAGAATGATTTCTATTTTTAGCAATACTATGAATATATTTATAAGAACATTAGTTTCGTTCGCTTAGATGTGCTCTGTAATGACTTTAAATCAAATCACAAATCAATTGTTTTATGACGTCGAGAAACGAACGGTGAATCAATTGACTCAATTACTAATTTCAAAAACTGTCTTTTTAACTATTTTTTAGAAAGATATTATACCTGAGGCCTTGTTATGTTGTTATTACTACTACTCTCTTAATACCTAATAATTTTATTATTAACTTTTTGTTCTCATATTTTTATTGTTATTGTTAGTATTTTTATTAATAATATTCTTCTATCTTTATCAGTAAATTGTTATTATTAATTATATTTTAATAAGTATTACTATTGCTTTTTTTTAATTTTTTCTTAAATTTATTTACGACTTATACTTTATAGTTGTTATTATCACTATTATTGCTATTATCTAATATTGATTGTCTAATATTTTTATTGTTATTGTTGGTATTGTTAATAATAATATTCCTCTTTATCGTCATCTTATTATTATTGTTAATATTATTTCTATAATTATTATCATTACTATTGTTATTTTTATTATTATTAGATTATTTTTTTTACTTTATATATCTTTTATTTAAATTCAATGGTCTAAAAATTTAGAAATTACAGAATTTTTTACATTTATATATATACACATTCATACATATATATGCGCACATATTTTGGTTGTTAGATTTATAGTTGCTTTGATTAGTGTACAAGTTATGTTTCCCATCTCTTATAAGACGCAAAGTTCTTTAAGTAAAATTATTTTTGTAAGCCGTATTTGCAGTAGCTATCTTGAAACCGAAGTTGATATTTTGTCTTGTTGTTATTTTAGATTTATTTTTTGTCTTTATGTTTAGCGGATGATTTGGGTTTCGTAGAATACGCTTTAGGATTTTTATACATATATTGCCAATGTATGTGTCAGTGTTTTCAATGTTATATTTTGTTCTGGGGATTTCTGGACTAATGCCTATAGATAGATGTCTATGGACTAATGTCTATAGATTTTAGTGTTTTTAGATGTATTTATTGTATTTCGTGCTTTATTTTGATACTGCCTGCACATAGTAACGGTGCACTATGGATCAAGTGACTAAGTCCAATCCTTCGGTATATTGATACAAGTAATTCACTGTGAAAGCCTAGTTTTTTTAGACTTCTAATTAGACAATGAGCTGAGGACAATTTGGGCTTGATGCGATGCCAGTGTTGGTCGGTGTTTATTTCAATATTTAAATCTAATCCTAGGTATTTATAAAAGGTTACATATTCAAGAGCTTTAGTGTTGATGGAAACAATTGGTGGTGGGCGTGTGTCGAGTTTGTTACTAGGTATGCTCATGATTTTGCTTTTTTTTTTGTTTAATAACATTTGCTTTTTAATGTACCAGATATTAACTTTCAAAAGATCGCATATTTCCTACCACAGGAAATATGCGACAAAGAGTCCTAATGCACTGCCTTTTGATGACTCGGGCCTTGGATGATTGTTAATTTGGTAAGAAGAAGTTCGTGATTAATTAAAGGTTTTAGCAAAGTCAAAGAATATTGCAATTAAATTTTTCTTTTTGTCTTTAGCAAAATGCCAGTCTTCTATGACACATGCGATTGCATCCATTGTGCCTTTACCTGGTAGGAACCCATATTATTTGTTGTTTTCTAAGATGGTGTGAGTATGTTGAATAATAAATTTGGCGACAACTCTTTCTAATGTCTTGCAGAGGTGGTATGTGAGTGAGATTGGACGGAAGTATGACTAGTTACTTGGGTTTGGTAATTTAGCGATAGGTGTTATGTTTGCAAGTTTCAATTGATAAGGCGTTAATGAGTGAGACAAACGCTTGTTAAACAGAAGACTTAGAATATCAGAGATTTCAAGACAAACGCGTTTGAGTAGTTTCGGGGAAATCTGGTCGGGTCCAGGTGATCCTTGTTTTAAATTTTTTAAAAGATTTAAAACAATGCATGTAGTAAAGAGTAGAGGTAAGTTTTGGTGGTTTGAATTAATTATAAAGCGAGATATGTCTGGCTGCTTTGAACCATTCCAGACACTGTAAAAACCTTCGTTTAATTGCTAAATCTGTATCAATGGATTGATTTTTTGAGGCGTTTTTAATTTTATTTATTTTGTTCCACCAGGTGCTGGTTTTTTTAGTGAGGCCACTATAGAATTGTTTTTTGCGGTGCCATATTTTTGAGTTAATAATTTTGCATGTTGTTTTCCATTTCTCAAGATTGCCATTGTGGTACTGTTTTTGTCAGATTCGGATTTGTTTCTTAATGTCTGCTGTCATCCATGGTTTATCATTGACAATTTTTGTTGTTTTTAATGGTTGGTGATAATATTCTATCTGAATAATGTGTTGGTAGAATAAGTCGAATGCTATTTGTCTATTGTCTTGAGAAAAGTTTAATAAATGACTTGGGATAATTTGTTTCAAATTTGTTTGTCTCAAAGCTTCTGCCGTGTCTGCATGTTACCAGATCTGTATGATGCAAATGTAGGTGCTGGTTTAGTCTTGCAATATAATGAATTTAATGGAAAAGCGTGGACTATATTGTGATCTGACTTCCCAAGTGGTGGAAGGTTTGTGCATTTGTATACTGATTTTGGGGTGTTTGTATGTATTATATCTAGAACACGGTTTTGTCTGGTTAGTTGGTTTTTAAGTTGGTGAAGACTTTGTGAGTTGGTTATATTTTTTGTGTTGTTTTTTTGTGTATCTCCTGTATTACTAGAGATAATATTTTCGATATGGTGCAGAACCTGGTAGATTGATGATTTTTGCTTGTTGGCTACCCACTCTGGTATATATGCGCATGCTACAATGCAGGATGAATAACCTCGTGGTAATCGTTGCGGGTAGATTCTAACTAAAGTGAGCTCTAGCTTGTCAATTTTGTTGTGGTCTTTAACCCAAATTGGTAATTCCATTTTAATTGGTGTAGGTGCAGTAAATTTTGGAGAGTAGCTTTTTTTAATCAAAATTAGAGTCCCTCCATCCACTTGGTTATTGCGTTCATTGCTAATTGTTTAATATTTGTCATTAATTTCTTTCAGTATTATGATTTTATTTTGCTCGTTTAACCAGGTTTATGTTATGCACACTAGATCGGCTTCAGTGTCTTCCATGAATTGGTTGATTAATTGCGTTTTGTTACAAATCGATAAGGCGTTTGTTACAAGAATAGATGGCAGGTATTTGGTTTTTGCTGGGTAAAATTTGGCTGTATTCGGTTCTCGGTATTCAGATTGTTCTGCTGGAGTGCGGTTCGGACAGATTGAAACGTGTGCATAATCGGAGTTTTTTGGCTGCTGCAAGTATGGCATTTTTGTTTTCGGTGGTTTCAAGCTCTATGATGGAAGTTCAGGCTTATTTTGATTTCCGTTTGATAGTGTTTGTCTAACACGCGTTCGTTTGTAAGTTGGGTATCGCTTTTGCTAGGATTGGTTGGCATGCCGAATATAACGATGCTTTTTGACTTAGACGTTTTTAACTTTGAGTTAGCAGTTATTGCCATAACGACCGCTGTGTTATTATTGTTATTATGGTCACTTTTATGGTAATGTTGCAGGTTTTTACTTTAAATTAGTACTTGTACTATTTGTAAAAGTCCTTGAAATTTTACAACTTATTTCAGAATATATTGAATTAATTGAATTAACATTCCGGGTTATCCGGAATGCTATTTCACCGTTTTTTGCTCGTTGTCATAAAACAATTGATACTCAGATATTATGAGTAATCAATTTTTCTTTAAAAAGTCACGTGAGTTAATCGCACTGTTGTAAACAAAGAATTTAAGCGTCAACTCAGGTCAAATATTCAGTGCATCGCCTGAAAAAAAGTAAGTTGTTTTATTAAAAGGTTTTATATAATGTTGAATGTATGATAATTTGAAATTGTCTATATGTTTATTGATGTTTATTGAAGTGGATGTTTTAAATATTAGACGAATACATTAATTATTATTTTGACTATCTTATAAAATGCTTTAGTTTTTAAATGTTTCTTTTAATCAGATCTTCAATTTGAGTCTTATTAATACATTTCTTTAAAATCTGTTTTAGTAATTTAAAAATTAGTTAAGGCTATGAAATTATCTCTTGAAGAATTTTGTTTTGCTATACCGAAAGTAGAACTTCATGCTCATCTCAATGGATCTCTTAGCTTTAAAACAATCCAAAAACTAATTCAAATCCACAATAAGAAATGGCCTCTGGAAAATATCCCTTCTGAAACGGAAATATTATCTTTAGCTAAAAAAGACCTAGATATTGAAGAGGTGTTTAAGCTGTTCCCATTGATTCAAAAATTAACAGATCACCCTGAAGCAATAAAATTTGCAACTGAAAGTGTGATAAAGGATTTTGCAGATGAAAATGTTAGATACTTAGAGTTAAGAAGCACACCCGTAAATGTTAATGGTAAAATGACTAAACATGAGTATGTGCAGGCTATTATAGATGGAATAATGTGTTGTGAAATGTCTAGTCCTTTAATTAAAGTTAAGCTTTTACTGTCTGTTAATCGAAGTCAATCCCTGGTATCAGCAAAAGAAACTGTGTTGATATGTCAAGACTTTCACAAGAAATATCCAAATATAGTTGTAGGGATAGACTTATCTGGTGATCCCAAAAAAGGTGATGTTATACCATTACTGAAAGTTTTTAACTCTTTAAGAAAAGAATCAAGTCTTAAGTTTTCTTTTCATATTGCAGAAATACATGGAATGCATAATGAGACTGAAGTTTTGTTAAGTTTTTTCCCAGATAGAGTTGGTCATGGTACATTTATTCATCCAGATTCTGGTGGGTCACAACATTTATATGACATTTTAGCAAAGCAAAACATTCCTGTTGAAGTTTGCTTAACCTCTAATTGTTTAACAAAAACTGTGACAAATTATCAGGACAGTCATCTTGTTCCACTTTATAAATCTGCACACCCAATAGTGATATGCACTGATGATAAGGGTGTATTTAACTGTAATTTGACTAATGAATATGTAATAGTTGCTAAATGTTTGGGTTTAAGCAAAGAAGATATTTATAAACTATCATTAAAGAGTATTGATTATATATTTAGTGCATCGAATGTAAAAGAATATCTAAAAGCACAATGGAAAGATTGGCTAGATGAACATAACTACCTTTTTTAAATTATTTGTTTTATTTTAGGAAAATTAGATAATTATTTTAAAGTTAACTGTAGAAAAATTTAAATTTTAGAAATAAATGAGTATTGAGAAATTTCGAGTTATTCACTTCTCTCTGTCTCTCTTTCATTAGTAGGTAAAACCCTCAGACAATGAGTTATAACCTCAGTTATGACAATGTTTATTCTTTTGCGTCTACTTTTTATTGAATAAACAGTTTGAGAATATTTTTTAGTCATGTTGTGGAGAATCTTTTTATAAAAAGGATGATAAAAAATTTGATTCAGCTTTAACCTATAAAATCAGGCAAATGGTACTTAAATACAACCGTCATCATGACACACAAATAAGCAACAAGCTTACTGCGTTGTTTACAGGTCCTTTTAAAATTATATACCAGTTAGGAAAAGGTGTTTACAGACTTCAATTTGGAGAAAAAATTATTAAACAAGTTGCTAACAACTTAAAACTTTGGTTTTCACTTACATTAATTACTTCGCCAACTTCTAATGTTTCATTGATAAACACAAGATGTTCATTTGAAGCAAGCAATAACTTCAATAGGAATTATATATTCAGAAGATCCACCCCCACCAATTGCATGGTGGATACAGGAACTGAATCTAAAACAATAAGGTAAAAAAATTTTGGAGTTAAATGATTGGCTAAATGACCGCATTATCGACGCTGTTAATATTATCATTAGCCTTCACTTGGCGAATGAAGAACCATGTCAACACTACTTTCAGGTAAAAGGATTTAAAGCTTTGCCTTGACTCAATTAAAATTTTGCATGATTTAAATCACTATGTATGTACACTCAAGTCACTGGGTATGTACAACATGTTTTGATGGAAATGTTTATTTTGAAAACAGTCTAAGTAGATCAATATCAGAGTATGTCTGACGCCAAATGCGACAGTTATATGCAAAATTTGTAAACAAGAATGAAAACCTTGCTATAAAAGTTGTACCAGTTCAGCACCAAACTAACGCGTATGATTGTGAAGTTTTTTCTGTTGCATTTACCTTTACGTGGGCTTTAGGAATAGAAGATTTTTATTACAATGAAGATGATATGCAAAAGCATTTGGCATGTTTGGCATCTTGCCTTGAAATTAAGATACCAATTGCTTTCCTAAGAAAATCAAGAAACAAACGCGGAAGAGAACCTCAAATTATAACAACTATCGTATAACTTTAAATATTATTTTTAATTGGTATGTATTTATATTGAAAATCTAATATATTTATAACATATACATTTTTCAATCTGTTATCTTTTTATTTTTTTAGACACTTTTCATTACTCAGAATACTTGACTTGTGTCATATTTCCATTTGAATCTATTTCCATTTGAATCTAATAAAGTAAAATAAAAGAGATTGTGAGTTTTTATTTTCACAAACTCTACTCCAAATATAAGTAACTTCAAATGCACCGACATAAATATTTCTAAATTTTACTTATTTGAAAATAAATAATTGAAAACATTCATATTAATTTGAACATGTCTACATCTAGTTTATTGTTTTTTATTTTAACTAATTGTTATTTTTAACATAAAAATATAATATAAATTAATTGATAGAATATTAGTAATAAATAGAAGAAAAAGAATGCTTTGCAAATGCCTTTTGCTTGATCCTATTGTTTTTTAATAAAGAAGATATCTTTCTCATTTGAGCTAAAATATTATTCTGTAAATAGCCAACTCTTTCTCCCCCCCCCCCCAAAAAAAAAAAACAAAAACAAAAAAACATTTTTATTATAATATATTTATACCCTCTGCCAATTTCTGAAGAGTCTTTATTGACAAAACGTCAATAAAGATATATATATATATATATATATATATATATATATATATATATATATATATATATATATATATATATATATATATATATATATATATATATATATATATATATATATATATATATATATATATATACTATGGCCCTGCGAATAGCTTCAATTTGATTCGCAAATCCTTTGTTGCTTTGTTAAAAAAAAATGCTTTGATTTTTATCGAATCATTTATTTCCAGATTTTTCTGGATATTTCAGGTTTATTTCATAGATATCCGGTGCTATGGTACTATCAAAATAGCTTTATTTATCCAAAAATACCTTTTACCTTTAATTTCTTGACATATTGATCACGATTGCTTATATGTTTTGATGATTTAAACATTTCAGAAATGCGCTAAATGTAGAAACGCTAAACTTAAACTAGGAAAAAAGTTAAAAAAAAAAAACTAACGAAAAAAAAATTCTTTACGAAAAAGAAATTATATAAGCACTTAAATAAAAGTAAGTTTCATGTTCTAGTTAAAAAAAAGGTTTCCAACTCTTTTATTTGTAAAAATAGAAAAAAATAAATAAATAAAATGCGCCTGCGATTTAAATAAAATAAAATGCCAAAAAAATAATTTGATTTAATTTTCATTTGAGCATTACAACTTTATTAATAAGCGCTTCATATAACAAATTTAAAATTATTATAAATGATTTTAACTCATTCATTCCTATCGTAATTACAATATATATATATATATATATATATATATATATATATATATATATATATATATATATATATATATATATATATATATATATATGGCAAAATGGATTAACCCTCAGTTAATCCATTTCACCTTATTTTAAAATAGTTTAACTCTCGGGGTTAATTTATTTTGAAATAGATTAACCAAGGAATTAAAATATTTTAACCAGGAGTTAACTTTTCAGGAGTTAATTCTTTTTGTGTCACCGGCATGGAAAGTACCACTGCTCAAATTATTTTACTAGAACAAAAATAATATTTACATTTATAGCTGTTATTACATTTTTCTTTTAGATAAAATGTTAAATATTGTGCTACTTTTTGGATTTCTATTTGTTGTGGAATGTGGAAAGCCTACTCTGTCAGATCCACGTGGTCTTTTTAATGTAATGGAAGATGAATTTAAAGCAATTTTACAGGAGGATTATGTGCATGGCTCTGTGTGGCCAAAACCTCTTCATGAAAATAGAAATGAAGTTTATTATGCTATCAACCCAGAAAAATTTAGGTAAGTATTTTCAGTCGACATTTAACATTTCTTTAGAATTTATATTAAGAGATTAGTATGTTTTGTTTTTAGTTTAAGAACATTTAAGTTTTGTAAAATTAATTTTGTTATGAATTTTTTTTTTTTCGTTTTATAGTTTTGTTTTGTTTTGTCAGGTGTATGCTGCATTCTAAAGCATTGTCAATGTACTGCTTTTTGAACTAGATAGATGTAGATATTTTTCACATTGTGAATTTTCACATTGTGAATTTTCATAAATGGAAAAGTTAATAGTTTAGATGGCTTATATATTTAATTGACCAATAAAATTATATTTAGTTGTCATTTATTATATTTTATTTGCATAAAATAAAAGAGTTTAAGAATTTATAAAAAAACTAAAAAATAGTGGAATGAGTCAGATAGGTTTTTACAATCTAAAAAATTACAGATGATTATGAAAAAGTTGCAAAATTTTTAATAATCTTGGATCCAATTAAAACAAAAAAAGCTATCAAATAGAAAACTAGTATATATTACAATATACATTGAAATTTTGTTTTTCTACAAAGTTATGCCTATTGAGCCATACTTATTTTTTGTAACAATACTTTATATACTTTTCTGATGTTTGTTCATTAATGAAAAAGTATTTCAAGAAACATCTAATTTATTACAAAATGATGCATAAACTATCAGCGGCTATTCTAGATCATTTTCGACAGCACAGACTTTTTTTTTATTGGCAAATATTTTATTTTTCGCAAAAAAAAGCCTGCATTTGCCAATATTTCTGCCAAATTTTGCCACAATGAGGGGTAATGCCACCCAAATTATTTTCCTAGAATAACCCCTGACTATATACTCCAAATAAAAAATTAGAATGCAAAAAAACAAAAATAAAGTATTGGATTTTTTTAATTAAAAACTTAAAACTTTTTTTTTTATGAATACAAAGATATTTGCATATCAAAAAGGTTTTTAATGAATACAAAGATATTTGCAAGTCAAAAAACCGAAACAGAATTAGGAAAGGGAAAAAATTAGGAGAAAACCTAGTGATATTGAGTTTGAGATTTTGGGATAGGGCAGCAATCTTTTCCTTCATATTTTTTTGTTTTTTTCTTCTTTTTCCAAAAAAGATAAAAGGAATGTACATATAATATATATATAAATATATATATATATATATATATATATATATATATATATATATATATATATAAATATATATATATATATATATATATATATATATATATATATATACATATATATATATATATATATACCACAGAACCTTAAGGAACACCGCAAGTGACAGGAACCCAATCAGATATTGTTTCTCCTAAAACAACAGGTTGTCGACGACTTGAAGGGAAAGAGTTTATCCAAGAAGAAAGTTTACCAACAATTCTGTTTTTTTCCAGTTTAAATAATAAAGAGTTTCCACTTTAAATAATAAAGTGATACCTCATCAAAAGCTTTAGCATAGTCAAGGAATATATTAATTCAGTCAATTTTTTATTTTATTTTGCAAAGGTTTGTTACACTTGACTTATTTGTAACAAGTCTTTCTTATATAATGGGGTAATATTGGCTTCTAACCAAGATTTTGGTAATTTAGATTGATCAATTGAATGTTGAAATATAAGTGATAATGGTTTGGCTAATGGTTTTGCTCAACTTTTGTAGAACTAATGGACTTAGTCATTACCATATTATAGTACGCAGTCAGTACAGTGTTATATATATATATATATGTATATATATATATATATATATATATATATATATATATATATATATATATATATATATATATATATATATATATATATATATACACTGGATTTTTAGATGTTTGAGTTTTGACACTTACGTGTATTTTGCGTAAGTTTAATTTTTATAGTTTTTAGTTTTTATGACCCTACAAAGTTTACAGCTCCCTCAAATTGAGGGGGGGTTAAAACTTTATGGTCATAATTTTCGAAAAATAAGAAATTATTGGATGAAATTTGAAATTTGTTGATGAATATAAACTTAGATAAATATACTAAAAAAATTATTTTATCAACTTGTTGCTCCCATGTTAAGGGCTATGTGGGCCCAAAAATTGGTTTTTTTTTTGTCCCCAAGCTCCAATCACCACAACTTTTTGCAAAACATTCTCATTTGACATAAGTAAGAACATAGAAAAGTTTGGAGTTTGCACAATACTTGTAAGTGTCAAAACTCAATCATCTAAAAGTCCAGTGTACACCACTGATATATATATATATATATATATATATATATATATATATATATATATATATATATATATATATATATATATATATATATATATATATATATATATATATATATATATATATATACAATATTAGACATAACATTTGCAACCAACATTGAACAATGCTAAAAAGTGTTCCTAATTTTACATGTCTTAAAAACGAAACAAACTATACCACCACAGCAAACAGTTCAGGAGTCTGGAGTCATAGCATGCCATGACATAAGCAATCAGCTGACAGGTGGCAGCACACAGGCAGAATTTCGTTGACAAGTGCCATTTTGCAGCAGACAAAACATTTTGGTTTGTTTTATTTTCTTAAGTCTGGTTCGTATCAACGTCACGGAAGTTTTTTGATAATTAAAAGAAGTTTCCAGAAGTTTCCAGAAGAAGCATCTGGAAGCGTTCAGAAGCATTCAGAAGTATCCAGAAACATTCAGAAGCATCCAGACGCATCCAGAAGCATCAAAAAGAAGCATCTAGAATCTTCCAGAACTGGTTCACACAGGTTCATTTTACTATATAAGAGACATGTAAACCGACATGTAATTCAGTCAGTATATGGAAGTCAATTAGTCATTATATTATAAAAGTTTATCGAAGTGAGTTTTATCAAAGTGTTTTATCAAAGAACATCAATACAAAGAAGTGAAATATAACAAGTGTTTCATTACATCAATAAAGGCCACATCCAACCAAGACGTTGTGTTCCACAGAGCGTTATTGTATCATCACAAGGTAAATGTAACACGGTAAGCCTTGAGAAGCGTGATTATTTATTTTTATTATTTTTATGACTTCAAGTGCAAAAATGGCTCCCGACAGTCTTGGATTGAAACTAAGAAAGAAAATTATTGGCGATTATGTAAGTGGAATGTCACAAAAAAGTATTCGTGATAAATATTGCGTAAAATAATGGACCGTATCAAGACTATGTTCCGAATATTGTTCTACGGGGAAGTTGGCAGCAGATAACAAAGATGGAAGACCGCGTTCCACCACTTCTAGAGAGGATTTTACGATCGTCAGATCTGTCAAGGATCCCTGGATATCATCAGTCGAGATATAAAAGCAATTAGAGCTGCCTGTTTGGACGGAACAATCAGATGACGCGCTGTTGAAGCCGGATCGTTTTCTTGATGCCCTGCAAAGAAACCACTGATTTCACTAAAGAACCAGAAGAAAAGACTCCTGTTTGCTACATCTCATATTGACTGGAATGTGCAGAAATGGCGAACAGTCCTGTTCAGTGATGAATCAAAGTTCAACATCATTGGGAGCGATGGCATTTGCCATGTATGTCGACCGGTCGGAAAACGCCTTACTGCCATAAGACCATGAAGCATGGTGGAGGCAATGTAATGGTCTGGGGGTGTTTTTCTGCTAATGGTCTAGTTCCAATACATCAAATCGATGGAATAATGGACCGTTTCATGTATACAAATATCCTGAAAGATGTTATGTTACCTCATGCTGAATAAAATATGCCATTAAAATGGATTTTTCAGCAAGACAACGATCTGAAACACACTGCAAAAGTAGTCAAGCAGTGGTTTCAAGACAACCACCTATCGTTGATGGATTGGCCGCCTCAGTTGTAGCAGTCGTGGCGCAGTGGTAGCACACTTGCCTCAGAAATGTAAGATCCGTGGTTCAAACCCCACCTCTGGGCAAGTTTTGTGACATCGGTTGGGAAGGAGGCGTGAACTTCATATTAAATGCTCTTCCGCGGTGCTCTGTGATAAGATCGTAAGGACTTCTTGGGGTACCTAAAATCAACATAAAAAAAAAAATCTCCGGACCTCAACCCTATCGAGAACCTGTGGGAGATCGTCAACCGCAGAATTAATCATGAAGTGTTCGTAACAAAGATCAACTGTTTAAACAAATCCAAAAGGCCTGGGCAGCGATTCCACAAAGTTTCATTGATCACCTATTCGAATCTATGCCTCGAAGATGCAAGGCAGTGATTGACAACAAAGGATTCGCCACGAAATATTGATAGCGAAATACAGCTTGGTCAACGTTTTGTGGAGTTGCACTTGTTTTGTCCAGAAGGAAATCAACTTTTTTTAATACTTTTGATTAATTTATTAATTTTTGTGTACAAATAATGAACTTTGTGATGAAAAAACTTAAAGAATGTCTCTAAACGGTTATATAATTATTTCTCTAAATTGAAAAAATGCAGCACTTTTATATAAAGAAACTAAATTAACATTATTTGGTTGCACTTGTTTTGTCTGATACTGTATATATATATATATATATATATATATACATATATATATATATATATATATATATATATATATATATATATATATATATATATATATATATATATATATATATATATATATATATATATATGTATATGTATATATATATATATATATATATATATATACATATATATATATATATATATATATATATATATATATATATATATATATATATATATATATATATATATATATATATATATATCATATATATATATATATATATATATATATAGGGCAGGCCTTGCGATAAAGCGTCGGGCGATGTGAATTTTACGTCGTCCAAGGGCGATTTTGCGTGTAGCTAGGGCTATTTGCGTCGAGCAAAAAATTTTTTGTTTGAGTATATTTAAAGATATTTTTGAGCGGAATTTTAATGAAGTAATTTACGATTATTTTAACATTTAATAAAGTATTTTAAAAACCGCACGCAGTTG